AAGAGAAAGGGAGGAAGGGAGGCAGGGAGGCAGGAAGGCAGAAAGGAAGGAAGGAAAGAAAAGAAAATTCAACATTGTTAAGACGTCAATTCTCCCCAGAATAATCTCTAGATTCAATACGACCCAAATACAAATTTCCCATCAGATGGGGTGTGTGGGAGTGGAGGTGGAGGTGGAGGTGGGAGTGGGTGGGTGTAGGCATAGGTGTCTGTAGGGGGAACAGGTTGACAAGTGAAGTCTAAAATTTTCATGGAAATTCAAATAACCTAAAAAGAATCAAAACTATCTGCAGAAAAACAATACATCTAGACCACTTACAGAATCAGGTTTCTAGATTTATTATAAAAGCAAAATAGTTAAGACAATGACAAAATCTCACTTAATTTGCAACAAATGGTCACTGCAATAAATGATGCTGGAGAAAGTGGATATCAGAATTTAAAAAATTACTCTGACCCTGCCTCACACCAAACAAACAAAATAATAATAATTAAAGGAGAGTAACAGACTTAAATATCATACCTAAAACAAAAAACTCCTAACTAGGGGACACAAAGTAGACTTAAACTTGACTTCACTATAATTCAGAACTTCTGTTCTTTGAGAGACATTATTATCAAAGTGAACAGGCAAGCCGCATGAAGGGAGAAGGATACACTACACATACATCTGACAAACGACTCATAAGCAAATAGATACAGAACTCTGACATTCCAATAATTTTTAAAAATCTAATTTGAAAAAGGAAGGCAAGGATGAAAGTTTGAGAAGTCACTTCACAATATAAGCCATTCAAATGGTCAATAAGCTTATAAACAGATGCTTAACATCTTTATTCATCCGGGAAATGCAAATTAAACAGACATATCATCACAAGTCCACTAATATGGCTAAATGTTTTTAAAAATTGAAAATATCACATGCTGGCAGGGGTGGCATTAATGGAAACTCACATGTATTTCTGGTGGGAGTATATATTAGTACAACCAGAGTACCCACTAAAACTAAAAATAACCTTACTACGTAATCCAATAACATCTCTCCTCAGTCTATCCGAGAGATGTATATACGTTCATAAAAAGACATAGCAATTTATTTCTAATATAAAGAAACTAAAAACCCAAAGATCCATCAATAGGAAAATGGATAAACTACAGGTGAGTCAAACAATGGGAGAGCACAGAGCAATTCTGAGAAGCAAAGGACAACAGAACCTCAGGGAAGAATCTCAGAGACACGATGATGTGTGAAAAAGAAGACATGATAGAGTACATCACCGGATTTCATTTACGCAATTTAAGAACTAATCTATGACATCAGATAGGAACAGCAGTTACTTTTGGTGGCGACGGGTAGGAATGGACTGGGAAGAGGTGTGATGGGACATTCTCTATCTAGATATGGATGGTTGTTACACAATTAGATGTGTGTGCATAGAAATTGTCTTGAATCGTACACTTAAGATTTATGGATTTCACTGTACATATATATATGATATACAGATATCATATATATACAATATCTCAATTTAGAAAATCTTTTTAAAAAGGCAAAAACAAAGCCTGCTAGCCTTGGAAATAAACTGTGTTCAATGTTGTAAAACATCCAACTGATTATGTAAGTTTGGATATTTTTTCTCACTTTAGAAAATTTGAGGATCTAAATGTTGATTTTCTACCCATAAATAATATCTATGTAAAGTGACCATTAAACTTAAAGAACAAACTGACAGAATCTAGGACTTTTTATATCATGCCCCTGTCAGAAAATACAAGGTCAGCAAAAAACCTTTTATTTATCTGGTTCTCTCTCCACACCAAATTAAGATTTTAAAAAATACTTAAAATTCGTTATTTCTAATTTGACATTTTTTAAAATCAATTTTAGCTATTACATATCAATTCATAGTCATAATGTATAAAATTCGCATGAAGGCATTTTCAACAGGCAAATGAAAATTTCAACAGACTTGTCTTCTTCCTTGTTTTATTTTAGGAAACCCATTTTGTTTTACCACTTTAAGGATTAATATCTTAAACTGAATAGAAGAAATGATTTACGGATCTCTATACAACCAGTTCCTCGCAGAACACCTGTCATACCAAGCTATATGGACATTTGGTAAACTGAAGTAGTACAGGAGTCCAGGTCAGGCACTTTTCTTTTTTAAAAAATGCCCTATAATGGTCCAGTCTTGGAATGACATAGCCTGGTCAGCTATCTCGGGAATGCTTTTTTTGGAGGTAGATTTTTGTTACCATTCCCAATCTCAAGCAGCATCCTAGCACTTTAACAGAAAGTACAACAGATTCCAAAGGCAGGTAATCGATTTATTTTGTACGTATCAAAACAATTCACAATCATTGTAAATGGAAGAAAAGATCATTCCAATAGGATTAAATGACATTATTTTAAAGTCACAGTAATAAAAAGCATTCTAAATGTACCAACCTGGACTTCTATATGACGAGGATTATCAATAAATTTTTCTATTAGTAGTCTATCATCGCCAAAACTAGAAGCAGCTTCTTGAGAAGACAATCTAAAACCATCCCTGCAAAAAAAAAAAAAGAAGAAGAAGAACTGTCAGACTAACAAAACAAATAGAGCTATCATTATAAAAGAAAATCAATTAAATATTTATTTTGGCTTATTTTGAACAAAGCAAAAAAAAACTTTACTCAATGTACAAATAACTAAGTTAATTTTGGTTGACCTGCAACTTTTCCACTCCCTAACTCTGTGACCACGGATGAGTTATTTAACTTCCCAGATCCTAGATTTTCCATTGAAACAGGAATGCCGATACTTTACCAACTGCTAAATATGAATTTTTTTCTTTTTTTTTTTTCTTTTCTTTTTGAGATGGAGTCTCGCTCTGTCGCCCAGGCTGGAGTGCGGTGGCAGGATCTCAGGTCACTGCAACCTCTGCCTGCCGGGTTCAAGCCAATATCCCACCTCAGCCTCCCGAGTAGCTGGGACTACAGGTGTGAGCCACCTCACCCGCTTAATTTTTGTATTTTTGGTAGAGATAAGGTTTCAACATGTTGGCCAGGATGGTCTCGAACTCCTGACCTCAGGTGATCC